CCACTAATGTACTGTTGAAAATTGTATGAAATAATTGATTCATATTTAAAAGTATCTTTTACTAACTAAACTAAATCTGTGTACAACTTGTAAACAAATCAAATATAAACAATAACAATAATCACATAATAATGACATCGATCTGTCCACCTATCATCTACTATATCTATCTATACTATTATAAAGAAGAGGTGGTGTTTGTGTGTTTGTATGAGATAAACTAAGCTACTACTAAGCCAACTGATTGGACTCAAATTGGACAAAAATCAAGCTACCGCTCCGAGGATTAGAACTACCCCCCACCTTCGATATTGAACTAGTATCTGCTCCACGGGCTTTCAAAATTCTGAGGTGAGGGATTTTTAACTTATTTAATACGCAAGCAGGTTTTTCTGTGACATTTACTCCTCCGAAACTACTAAACCAATTGGCATGTTTTTGGTGTCATTTTTGGAAAGAGCGTAACGTGAAGTTGTGCAGGAAACTTTCTTTTTAGGGAAATAATTAGGGTGAGGCCCTGGGGCCCTTTACGGGTTCATATTTCTCCATAAGATTCATGGGAAACAGACATTGTTATGTAACTCCAGCTGTTGTCAGAAATTAAAAACGAGAAGAATAACTTATGTTAATTGTAAACATTATGTAATTTACACAACTATGTGTAGTAGGTTTATTTATGCAATTGATTATTGAAGTGAAGAAAAATTCTATAACCATAAGTTATAAAAATTATGTTATTGATATATTTTAATGTAAACAGTAGGGTAATTACAATGTAGGGCATACATTTTTGTAAAAATTTGATTGCTATTTGTTTAAAAAATTCAATCTACTTAACAAGTGTTTGGACTTACTTGGCAGTATGGACTTTTGGTACATCTTCCCGTTGCGAATCACGGGCACAGCAGCTAGTTCCGTTTATTCACTAATTGTAAATAAATTATAACGTAAAGATATAATTGACAGTTGGTAGGAAGATGATTACACTAAACATGTCGCCAATTGTTTTCAGATAACGTATTATCTCGTCACATTATGGTATTTGGTAAGTGACTGTTTAGTACAATTTTAAAGAAACGTGTCCAATATCATTCAAAACAGTGATTTGGATTGTTTTGTCTAAAAATCTTTCAAAAAGTATAATCCGACGACTAAATAAAACAAATTAATACAAGAAATAGAATAGTTTTACCAACAGCAGAATATTAGTTTGGTTCTCTTTTGTGATTACCACGTGAAATGAAAACAGTATTTAGGTTGGAAATTAAAGGACAATCGCGATCTCGCAACTACGGGAAAGTGAACTGACCTGAGTGAGCCAACACCTCAATAACTGGAATGGTTGATGTGAAAGAAAAATCTAAGAAATTTCAGATTAAGTCCATTCGTAGAAACGTGCGAGGGGATAAACGGGACATCCCTGTATTCTGTTTCCTAATATTTCCTTTAAAGTTCCCAGTACTGACTGTTATGGGGTTGTTTATATTAAACAATTGGCCGAATACTTTGCACCAGGTGTTCACGTCTACATTTTACAACATGCATTTCGTTCAACCTTCCCAGAAATAATTCGCGGTTCGTTCCTGATTGTTTAATAATGAGGCATATTATGCTATTGTTCTAAATACATACGAGAGATATTCAAAAAGGCAAAAACAAAGAAAAAAGTTTTGAGGTAATAACAAGCCTATATTTTAATCAGGAAAGTGTTATCATCATGCCAAATTTCAGCCTAATCCCGATGTGCCCAATGAATTGTTATTGAGTGATTGAACCCCAAACAAACACACAAACATTCATTTGTAATATTAGTAAAGTAGCACTGTACTTCTACGTATGAATCAGGCCGTAACTTGAAATAAACGCTTAGGCCAGTTACATTTTTAACATCCAAATGTAATATTATTTCGCCAAACACCGTTGATCAGTTATTAAACGGAGGCAACTGGTACCAAAAGTCATTATCTTGCGAAAAAAAACAATTTGTTTTCAAACAAAAATCAGTTTAACAAAAATAAAGGACTTTGGCTTTGACTTTTTTCAGGTTATAATCCTAAGTCAAATTTGTATCTAATCGTATAATGAAACTGCTTGATGCATAATTAAGGTTCAAATGAATCAGTAATATTATTTTAACCTATGTAGATACGATATCCTGCACATTGTGAAAATTGTTTAGTCGAGGATACATTTACACATAAACATCATCATTATTTAAATATTTAATTGGCCAACACAAATTTTGTGATTATTGTTTTGAAACTGCTACACATCCGATATCATCAAGTTTAACGTGTCGTTGGATAGGTCGTGACATGTAAATTTGCCATAAAACAAAACACATTTGAAATTCCATCAGGGCTCTGCCCCAGTGGCCTTCAGCCAATTGAAAGCGTCAATATACGTGATTCAATTTATTTCATATCACGGACGATTACTTAATATCAAACATTAGAAATAACAAAATAAATGTAAAAATAAACGGTATCAGCATTCTGAAACATACTTTCTCCCATAAGCTTGTTAACATCCTATATCATGGGAAAGCGGTGATAGTATATAGTTCAAAATCACAAAAGCTGAAATAACTTTTGGACCATAATTGTTACAGCAATGGGGTGTTGTCAACAACCCATTGCTGTAACAATTATGGTCCAAAAGTTAGGTGTTGTACTATTTTTTTAAAACATCATTTGTTTATGTTTATAATCCATACCGGGTCTCTTCTAGTACTCGTGGTCTAATCACAGAATACCGATAATTTCACCCGAATTACCTTTTGAATTCAAGTGAATACAATTTTCTTTGCGTCTTGCTTTCGCAATCACCATTATAAAATGGCACAAGACTATCCCTGACTATCGCCGGTTTAAATGTATAAAATGCATGCTTTTCACACGTATGTTGCGTGCGCACGTGGTGGTAGGTGCGCATAAAAACTTATATATATATATATACGCATAATGAAAAAAAAAATTGTTTATTCACTGGCAATTAAGTAAAATAACTATTCTATTTTTGTTTTTGGTATACGTTTTTATCATCTCATATTAATACGCGAGGACTGTGTTTTGTGAACGCTACTCCTCCTTTATTTGTGGACAAATTTCAACGTTTAAGGTGTTGGTGTTAAAGGATTCGGACCAATTCGTAGTTTTGCATTAAGGTTTTAGAATTTAAAAGTTCCTACCCTTAAGGGCGTGAGACCCTTTTAAATGTCGGGTTTTCACCATGTTAATAATTGTATTACCCACGTATTACCTATCAATCTTTCTTCCGAAAATAAACTAAAATGTCCAGATATGCTATTTAAGAGTTAGGTACATTAACTTTCTCTAAATTAACTGAATCAAAGTACCAATATATTTAATGCTACAGAATATAAATCCAACCGATTTATTTATTGATAAATCCAACCGCGAGATGGTGGGTTGTCGAGGTGGCACGTTGTCGCCTATATGAGCGAGGTGGCGCGTTGACGGCACCGAACACTGAGCGTACACGTCAACCCGCCACCTCGTAAAAGAGTGGTGGCGGGTTGACAGGGTGGCACGTTGTCGCCTACGTACGAGGTGGCGGGTTGCCGACATCGAACATGGAGCTTCACGACAACCCGCCACCTCTGATAAAAACTGGTGTTGGCGTGTTGTCGTGGTGGCATGTTGTCGTGGTGGCTCATTGACTTGAGTGTGTACGACAACCCGCCACCTCGGAAAATTGTGTGGTGGTGGGTTGTCGTGGTGGCCTGTTGTCGAGGTGGCGGGTTGACATGTACGTACACGTCAACCCACCACCTCGGTTTTTTTGTGGTGGCGGGTTGACGCCTCTGACCAAAACACCGAGGTGGCGGTTTGACGTGGTGGCGCATTGACAGCGACCCGATAAAACATACCCCTCATAAAAATTATAAGGACTGCTTTATCTATGTTTTTATTCTGTATATACGGTGTAAGTAAATGTAAAATGTAACTTAATAATCAAGATGATTGTTAATAGACCAAATTGAAGGGGATTGAGGATGGGTAATGTAAAGGCGTGAATTCTAAAAAAATATAATAAATAAGATTATGTTGATAGTATTGATAATATAGGAGAACCTGCTAGTAATTCAAACCTACCATAATCACACCTACCTGCCACAGCTCAAGTACTAGTATAGTTTGAGAGTAATTAATTTATTGATCGTGGGAAGGTTTTTTGCCTACTTTTGCCATATAATACGTAACGTGCTTTCAGTTATATTTAAGCCCCCTTGTCTTAAATGTGACTGTTAATTAAGAAATTTGAAAATTTTGGTATTTTTGAAAATAAGTCTTTTAGTACGTTACCGTAACGATCTTAGAAACCCCCTGCCCCCTCCTCAATATAATGCTGCCTAAAGCCATAGACTGACCAACACGTAACTTGTTTTATCCATGGTAATACTAAGCCGAACCCCTCCCCTCTGAACGTTTTATGTAGTAATTGGGTGACCCCTTAGAAGTATATTTAATGCATGATTTTACTCTCAGATAACAAGTACTATGAAATAACTTAATAAAATAATCAGATAAATTTTATTATAACAACTATGAAACCATTGATCTACTTTTTAAGGATACTAATAATATCTATATCTGGCTAGGGGTATAAGGCCGGGGGTAAAAATCCGGGCCGAACATTTTGATCTACCTCATGAATGGGGTAAAAGTCCGGGGTAAAATTCCGGCTCGTACAATCTAGGTTTTATAGTTTGATGTGTTCTGATTAAATTCACAACCGTGAAAATATACGTTAATTCCACCTTTAATTTTTGGAACTGATGTGCCACTCAAACAGTTCGTGGCCAGAATTTTTTTTACCCCTTAGATTGTGACGTCAGTTTTGTTCGTGCTTTAAGGTGTAATAGTGTAGCTACATGGTAGTTCAACCAAGCCAGCTTTTTAAAGCAAACTAGAAAAGAAGAAGAAATAAGCGAACGAAACTAACTCTAACTCTTAATTAAATTAGGTTATATTTTATGTTAATGATTAATGTTTAATTTTGTATTTTCATTATTCTAACTTCTACTTCTAACTTAACTTTTCCTATATTGTGATTAATTGTGTGATACGGAATTTCCTATATTTATTTCCAGTGATGCCTGAAATTAATGGATCTGTGCTACCTGAAAAGGACAACGAGGTTAAGAGAGAAATTACTCAAACAGATCACCTGAACCAAAGGTTGCTGACATCCTTTTTGAATTTAATAAACTCGGCAAATAGGCCTAATAGTGATGATAATCGTTCCGCCTCTTCTCATCCTCAGTCAATACATATCAATACTCAACATCATTCTGTGGACGAAAACAATCATTTTGAATAATCATCTCAAGCTTGTGTAACTTAGTGGTAGGCTAGCCTAATTTAAGACATGTCAAGGAACTCATTTAACATATCTGTTTAAGAAATTCAAAGTGTATGGTACCATATTTTTGTCTTAGTTAATTTGACAAGTGATACCGATAAAGAAAAAAAGGGACTTGAATTTATGGTGGTGAAGAGTTTTAACTTACAAAAGGAATGTGGTAAGTTCTAAGTTCATGAGCTGTTGATCATTTAAGTTAGGCCTAAGTATCCTAGGCAGTGGCGGCGATAAGAGCCCGCGGGCCCTCCCCGCAAGTTTGTTTGCCGGGCCCCCTCCCAATAATCTTTAACTTATCACATGTATTGCTGCCAAAACTTGCACTTTAGTTTGGCACGGCATCTCCCGAGGCACTGGCGCATCAACATCGTATTCCATGATCGCGGAAAATTGTGAATACTTCCTGTAGTAATGGAAAAAACATTTATAGCCTAGGCTAATCATAGTCTACCGTGATTGCAACCAAACCTATGACATCATCAGACTCCAATATACTTGCTAATACGTAGATTCTTAACATTAAAGATAGGTTTTGTGTATTGGTATTACCTTAAAAAACTCTTATTTTTCCAATAACCTAAATGAAATATTTATTTTCTGAATACCGTACCTATATTTAAAAAATCTACAAAAGTTATTTATCATTCCTAATTAAGAATTTACAAAAATGAATCAACTAACTTAGTCACTCTGAAACAGATCTACGTGGACAAAACATAACCTAAGATTTTATGTTTGACTTTCACGTCTATGTATGATTTTTCTAGTTTGATGAAACCGATGAAGGTTAACATTTTTATTGTATGCAAGTTATAGGGCCCATGTTTATTACCGTAATCAATTTGAAAGTTTTATTTTATACCAGTCTTTAGGTTTATTCTTTTCTAGACTAGACTAATATTATTCACAACATTAAATATCAGAGGTGCCCATCCCCCCCAAACCCAGAGGCGCAGCCCCCCCCCAAGCCAAAGGAGTAGTCCCCCCAATTTGTGCTGCCGTCTATTTAAACCTACCCTCCACCTGCCAATGTATCTGGCAATTTCCCCTTTACCTCATAAAACGAGCATTTCAAGTATTTAGTAAACTTGAGGTAAAGAAAAACAAACTTGCTGATAATCAATATTAAATGTTTAATAGGATACGTCATTTAACAATACATCATTATATCTAACTAACGGACAAATTTGAAGTTTTTCAATTTTCAATTCAGAAACTGTATTGTGAGCCAACATGTGCTCAATATACTCGGTGAATTACTCTACTCCAACACAGTATTGTAACTGTACAATATATTAGGTGGCGTTAGTTTTTACGAGCATGAATAATACTTTGACAAAAACTATCTGGTTTCTAAATTATAGGCAGAGAGTCGCTAAATAGGGCAGACTTGTTGCTCGCCACTTCCAGGCTGCCTTCTACAAAAATCGCCGGGCAAAATACACTAAATACCAATTTCCACTAGCACAAAAGGTTTTTGTGACGAAGTAATCTTATAATTCATTTTGATAGCCCCAGGATTGCCTTTTATGACTAATAGTGGTAGAAACGCATCTTGTCAGACAATCCTTAATAATATATGTATGGTAGTGTCGTATTTTACTTGCTACATATGTTTTGCCGGTTCTTTAACATATTTAGACTTCCATATGTAACATACACCATCGTCAGACTTACAAAAGGATCGACTTCTGGAGGTGTCGACAGAATATGTTACAAACATTTAACACAAAACACGAAACGATTACAGATAGGCCTATCAATTCATGCGCGGACATTGCTGCGGGCAGGACTGGAACACTGCAAGTAAACTGAATCAGGTTATGACAGACCGACGTGGTCTCTGGATTGTCGTCTGCGTTTTCAACAGATGTTAGGACTAATTGTAGTGACAGAGGAGAGTGTTGAAAATATAGCGGGATTCATAATTGAGTTTTTCATTCAAAACTATTGACAATAATAACAAATTTTTATGCTGGACATAAATGATGGTCTCGAAATTCTACATTACTGCGTGAAAAGAAATTTATTAAATACATTGGAAGAGTTTGGAATACTGGTATATAAATAAATAAAACTAGGGACAGTACACAATTTTTGAGTGAAAACACTCAATTAATTATGAATCCCATTATATTTCCAACACTCTTCTCAGTCACTACAACAATAGTCCAATATCAGCTGTTGAAAACGCACAAAACAGACGACAATCCAGAGACCACGTCGGTCCGTCATAACCTGAACCTGAACTGATTCAGTTTACTTCCAGTCCTGCCCGTGCCAATGTACTCTTGTGCATTGATAGGCATATCCTGTAAATCGTTTTGTGTTTTGTGTTAAATGTTTGTAGGTAACGTATTCTGAGGACACCTCCAGAAGTGGATATTTTTAAAGGCCTAAGACTGACGATGGTGGAGTTAAAGAACCACCAAAACATATGTAGCAAGTAAAAGTCAGCGAACACAGAATAAAAAAAGTCGACACTAGTACATATTTAAGGATTGTCTGATAAGGTGCGTTTTACCATTCTTAGAAGCAATCTTAATTACGAATGGCAGAATGTTGTTGGTGTTGATAGTGAGCTCCTTAGAAAAAGTTTTTCAGTCTGATTATACAAAATTCTACATTCATTATGACAGCTAACAAAAAAATATCCCTCCCAAAATCTCCCTAAAGAAGTTCCCCCCCAAAAATTCCTGTGGCGCAAACGCGCCACGGTCCCCCCCTCTGGGCACCCCTGTTAAATATTAATATTTCATCATTAAAAACTTGTTTAGGCCTACTTGTAAGTTTTATGAAAGTTAACATGTTAATCTTAATATCAGCTTCTAAAAGTATTTTAATTTCATTATTTTGTAATAAAATACTTTTGTCTATAGGCTACTAATTTGTAGTAGGCTACTTGGCTTATTTTGTATCCCTAAAATTTTATACTGCTCCGTCTGCTACCACAATGGTTTGAAAAGTTTTTTGGATTTGAAACGATTCGGTACTTACCTATTCAAGTTTTTTGAAGACATAACATTTCATTATGAATTGGTAGAAGTTTTGGACGTTTTTTTAATTGAGTAATTTTGTATAGGCCTATAGGCTACCTATGTAAAACTAGCCATGTTTTATTGTTAATACAAGTTAATAAATACTGAATTGAGTGTGACTGCAGTGTAGTATAATAATTTGTAGATTTTTTTAAAAAGTACTACTTAATTGATTCCTCGAAATAAAAAATAGTTGGGAAATCTATGTTAAGGAGTTGGGAAATTTGAGGCTTCTCCCCCCCCCACCCTGGAATTGACCAAGCAACGCCACTGGTTGTATGTAATGAAACCCCAGGAATGTTTGTAAAACAATATATAGTGTGGCGACAAATTTGTTATTTACAAATTTAACAATATGAAACATGAATTTTGAGTCCAAGAGATTTTACATAGTCTTCTATCCTGCTTTTTTTGGTCTTAATCTGCTTTTCTACTTTGTAGTTTAGTGTAATTTATTCCTTCATTACGATTGATTTCATGTTGGCAGAAGTTATAGTTTTAGATTTGGCTAGTATTGAAGATTTACAATCTTCCCTAATGAAGATCAAAGATGGTTTTTATAATCATCAGTACAATTTTATAAAATAACTGTAAGTTACACGGGTTGTCTGTAAATTAAAGTCTCCTTTGAAGCTGGGTCAAGTCTGGCACTGCTGGGTTCTTGACTTCATAGTAGCCAAATCGTCGGACCCACAAAGTATAGATCACGTTCCATGATAACATTTCTGTAATCCACAGTGTAAATCACTTTTGAGGTCTTCCAGCAACTGAAGTACTTTACTGTTGACGTAGAACATGTACGTAAAACGTGCAGGCAGTTGTTCATCTTGTTTGGGGTAGTAGCTAAAGTTAGAGAGACTTTGCTTGCAGGTATCATAGTGACTCAACACGTGTCTGCTGAACTGATAGGGGTAGGCCCTATCTTTAAAACACTCGGTTCACACGATCGACATATCTAGCTAACTAGGCTGTGACTAGGTCTGCAGGACTAGGTAAAGCAGACCACAGGATCAAATAGAGCCATTCACACAACTACTGTTCAAGGAACTGTACGACAACGGCAATCAACCCGTGAAACCATTGCCAGGGTCTGCTTGCTAGCCAAGTGTCGCGAATTATCGCCAATAGCTCCATCGGCGTAGCAAAATCAATTGAAACCCTTCAAATAAAAATGTTTACATTTGAAAATAAAAATGCCAGATATCTGAGTATATCCATACGTATGTTAAATTAAGTTAAGATTAAGAAATCCGCTGAGAATATTAATTATTTTTTACCATAATATGATGTTTCAGCTCCTAGCAAGCAGAATAAACCCCAATATTGATTAAATGCCCAGAGCTATGGGCTTGTTACTGGGATCAACTGCAGCTTTTTTAAGCCTTTCAATTCAAGTTTCATAACAATCAAGGCAGGGTTTCAAACTGTTGTGAGCTCATCTACACAGGTATTTAAAATAAATTCAAAATTTTCTATTAATACTTAGTAAATAAATAAATTGCCTTTATTTACGAGTGAGCTTCATGACACGTGTTTTTCAAACTAACTCAAGTCACTAAATCTAAACTATCCTAATATATTTACATAATATATACAAAAAGTGTCAACGGAATAATTTACAATATAAATTTTACATTTTCTTTTTAATTTTGCTGAGTGCATAGCAACGCTGGTGGCACTGCCTAAGAATTGACAGGCAAAGCTCTCTCAAAGTACTTAACGCTTTTTACCATGCGGTTGGCATTCTGGGTTATAGTATGTTTTCTGGGCTCTCGCTGAGGCTCTCCCAGCCTCACCATGTGATGCAATTGCTGGACCATACAACCAATAGGCCCATAGCCCATCTCTTGGGAACGTACGCCTACCTATTTATTCATAACAACCTTTTCGACGACGATCCTTGATACCGGTACTTTTCCATAGAATACATGGCCTACCTACTTAAGAAATAAAATTACATATGTCCAAAAACCCAACATTGTGTGATTTTTGTCACATTCAACTGAATACTATAAGATCCCCGGGAACGGGCACACAGCTAGTATAATCTAACTTTGCACCAGTAGTAGTAACATTGTTGAACAGTTGAAGTAACATTATGCACCATCAAACCAAAAAACAAATATTGATTAAATGTTATTGCTCAAAGAATGAAGACTCCAGAGCCCCAAACAACATACCACTGGCTGAGGTTGAGGCAGTTGAACCTCAAGAGGCTGAGACAAATGATGGATGCTTCATAAAGATCATCATCAGAGGACGATTGGTTGAGCAGATACTGCTGGTTTTTTTAAAAACGGTAATTGTTTCAAGACTTAAAATTGGTGTACTCCAGTTTGTACAAAAAAATAAACGGTCCAGAAGGATAAATAAGGGGGGAAAAATTAAATTTAAGATGCTTAAATTTAATTTAGCTAGGTGGAGTGGGAAGGATCATTCATTCAGTTCGTCCAAAGTTTTAGTGTGAGCGACCAGGTCTGGCCGGGTCTAGGCGAGGGGGTTGGCGGGGCTACTTTTGTGAAAACATTTGTGTCCTCAGGGTTGGTACGGTCAGGGAAAAGTCAGGGAATTATGACAAGTTCTGGAATTTCTCCTGAAAAACTAACTTTTTACAGATGTGCTACATTTTGATCTAAACATGTTATTATCAGGGTGATGACTTTTGGCAAAAAGAACAACATAAGCACTGATGCACATTTTTATATCGATAGATAGCTATCGGTACAGGGGAGGAATCGATATGTATACAGGGTGTCCAAAAATTCCCGGGTCGATTAAATATTTTTAAATAAGTTATTTAAAATAGAGCTTTAAAACTTTGCATAAAGTTACCGGACGTAAAAATCAGTTTTTTTTTCATATCGAGTGATCCGCTTCTTCGTCAGGGGGACATATTCAGTGATATGCTACTTCCTCAATGGACGGCTAGATGTCAGAAGAAAATCTAAAATTTAAGCATAGGTTGATATTCACGTCAAATTAAAGTTCTTTGTTAATAAAATACAATGCCAAAAACACAAACTTAAACGTACAACCGAGTAAAAAAAGACAGCTGTCCAAAGATTAATTTAATTTGCAATGCTATTATACGCTACCTCCTCAGGGGCCACTAGAAGTCGGAAGAAAATCACAAACGTAAGCATAGGTCAATATGCACATCAAATTAAAGGTCTTTATTTGTAGAATACAATGCAGCAACCTGCAAATTTCAGCTCAAAATAACATCTGGGTAAAAAATGGCAACACTTCAAAATGGCAGATTCAATAAATCTTTGAACGGCTGTCATTTTTGACTCAGTTATCGGGTTTGCGGCTCTGTACCCTACTAATAAAGACGTTTTATTTGATATGCATATGAACCTATGCTAACGTTTAAGATTTTCTTAAATCCTAGCGGGCTTTGTACCCTGAGGAAGTATCGGATCACTGAATATGTGATAAAATAGATTTTTATGTCCAGTAACTTTGTGCAAAGTTTTGTAGCTCTATTTGAAATATTTTAAAAATATTCAACCGACCCGGGACTTTTTGGACACCTGGTATAGTTTGAAACAAGTTTTGTATTAGGTACTAGGGAGTGATTGAATAAGTCAAATATATAAATTTTGTCTAGTTCTTGACTTTGATTGGTCGATATTGACTTACGGTATACCTGGAAAAGTATAATATCAGTCTGGAAAACATGGAAAAGTCAGGGAATTAAATTTTATAAATTTAGTACCAACCAACCCTGGTCCTGCTACTCACTCACCCCTACCCTCAGCACTGCCAATAGCCGGTACCCGTACGTTTTAGTTAGGCTAGTAGCGACCCGTTTGCACGCAAAGAAGTTCTGGCCGATCTGTACCTAATATATTTATTTTGAACCAAAAAGAATTTTGCGATGTTTGGCTATAAAATGTTTTAAGCGAATTTCCCCTATAGGGAATAAGCTATTACCGTAGTACTCATGGTAAGACCTGGACCCGGGACCGATTAACCCCATACTAGAAAAACTAAACTCGGCACACCTTAATTGCATGTTATGAAGTATTTTTTGGGCAAAACCGCCACTTGATGTATTTTTCCAAAATGGGGGATTTTGTGGGAAACTCTAAAACTTCAAATGGTAAGACCCATCGAGTGCTTCCCTTTTTTACTGAATTGAGATAGAGACCTCTAGTTTCAGTTGTAAGCTTTCTTTTATCAGGACCTTCAAAATAAGGGGTCACTCGATGGGGCTTAACATTTAAAACTTTTGAGTTTGCTCCAAGGGCTTTTGAGATATTAATTATTTTTTTAAATATACAAAGTGGCGGATTACGGCAAAATTAAGCCAAAATGGAAAAAAGTTTATTCTTATTCTACATTTTTGACTTTTTTTTGCTTGTAAAATCTGAATCTGCATAGCCCGCTACGCTTTACTGAAACACCCTATATATAAACTAGCTGTACCCGCGGGCTTTGCCCCGTTTAACTTCATAAGTGAGCTCGTTCGCATGGCTCAATCACGTCCTGGTTGAAGTTCGTTCGGTACGCTCACTCACCTTTAGGATGGAGCTCGTTCGCTACGCTCACTCACCTTTTGGTAGCAAATTGGCTGTTGTCATAAATTAAAAAAAAATAATAGTACTGCACCCTGTTGGGAATCCTTGTAACTTTAATGCTATTGAACATCATAGAACAGAACCAACTTGTTTAATTGAAACAGCTGTTAAGATTCATTAATTCCATTTAAATATGAGTACTCATAAGGTTAACATGGGAAACTCCAGAGCCACTGGGACGGAGCCCAAGAGTCCGATCGGGATAAAAACAACTTAGTTTTCCTATTTAATGCCTAAAGAATCAGTGTACCAAATTTCAGCCTCCTAGGTAAATGGGAAGTGGGAGAATTAGTGATGAGTGAGTGACTGAGTCAGTCAGTCAGTGAGGGCTTTGCCTTTTATATATATAGATATACTAGCTGTACCCGTGGGCTTTGCCCCGTTTAACTTCTTAATTTTCAAGATGAGCTCGTTCGCATGGCTCAATCACGTCCTGGTTGAAGTTCGTTCGCTAAGCTCACTCACCTTTAGGTTGGAGCTCGTTCGCTGCACTCACTTGCCTTCAGGTTAACTCGTTCGCTACACTAACTCGCCTCCAGGTTGAAGTTCGTTCGCTACGCTCACTCACCTTTTGGTTGCAAATTAGCTGTGTCATAAATTAAAAAAAATAATAGTGCTGCACCCTGTTGGTAATCCTTGTAACTTTAATGCTATTGAACATCATAGAACAGAACCAACTTGTTTAATTGAAACAGCTGTTAAGATTCTTTAATTCCATTTAAATATGAGTACTCATAAGGTTAACATGGGAAACTCCAGAGCCACTGGGGCGGAGCCCGAAAGCCCGATCAGAATAAAAACTACTTAGTTTTCCTATTTAATCGGTGTACCGAATTTCAGCCTCCTAGGTAAATGGGAATTGGGAGAATTAGTGATGAGTGAGTGAGTCAGTCAGTCAATGACTCAGTGAGTCAGTGAGGGCTTTGCCTTTTATATATATAGATGGTGTCCTGTATGAAAGAAAACATGTATAAGAAGCGAAGAAGAGTGTAGAAGAAATATTGTATGTTTATATTTATATATATGAATTTGAACGGATGGCGTTTCATGAATACTACGGTAATAGCTTATTCCCTATATGGGAAATTCGCTAAAAAAAATGTAGTAATAATTCATACTCTTTTCAGAGATTGGCATTGGTGTGTCCTACGGAGGTGTTGATGGAAGTGTAGGATTGCTGAAGGAGGGCCCAAGACTTTCTCCACTCCAAGGAAGGATGAACATGCTCCAGCTCCGCAAGTGTTTCCCTCAATATAAACAGACTGTTTGTTGCCTACGTCTAAACAGGTATTCAAAGAGCAGATTCATTAAAGCTGATAGATTAAAGATGGAAAAATTAAATCTTTAAGTTAAACAAAATTTTGAGACACATTAAACTGTAGTCATTGTTAAGTTTATGACGCTGTATGAAGAATGTAACATAGCCATTGGAACTAGATTTTAAGGATTTTTGCTAGGATTGCAGACTTGCATAAATGGGAAAGAGTCTCTGACAGAAACGTCAGATTTTACACTATATGCACGCCAATAAACTAAGAGTTAATTTTTACCTTGGATAAAATACCGTCAATAGATTGTGTAAGCCTTACATTGGACTGTTAAATCATTACGGGTGGTATATTTTTTACTGTTAACTGACCACCCAATCAAGTTTGTATAATGTTTTGTACCTAAATATATTTTTCTGTACAGTAGTGTTTCAATAAAGTTTTTTATGATACAAACATGTTTTGCTAAATCACCCTGTATTTATAAATCAATATTAATAAGCAAAGCTTTAAAAGGAAAGTACTTAAAAACCAAAAATTATTTTAACCAATTTTGTACAATCTATTAGGTATTTAATGTTACTGACAGCATTTTCACCTAGAAATGGTTTGAGTTGATATTTCATTCCAGCACAGCAACTTCCTACTTGTATAGGTACAGTGAAACCACAATAATCTGTTTATCGTTAATGTTAATAGCATATAGATTCTACTTAAACCAGTCAGGAGATTGTAAAAATGTCAAACAGCTTAGAACTGAAACACCAATGTACACTTTTGACAATGCTTTATTAGTTAAATGTTAAAGCCATTTTCTGTTTCTCCATTCCAGCGTCAAAAAGGGTGGTTACCTTTTTTACCTTTTACCGGTTACCTTTTTTTAGGTTGGTTACCTAAGTGTAAAGTAAGCCCTCGATGTAAAAGGTTGGATGATGGACAAATTCTGTTCCATTCTAAATAGACTCTTTGGAGGAAAACTTATCACCTTGAGAAAAAAAATCCAGTTGTCTCTTTAAGAGCTTAGATGTGTAACTGGCTGATATACAGGGTGTCCAAGTCCAAGGTGTCGTAAATCTTCCAGTGCAGGAACACTCATCATTGCTACAGAAAATACAGATTGCTTCCAGATAGGCTCTTTGGAAAAAGCAGCGTGAGAAGCACTACTCCACTGAGGATGTCCAACAGAGTTTTATACTTTTTTCTATTACCAGTCCATTTATGGATTAGCAGCTTTGAAACGGTTGGTAAGTCAAAATTTCAGCTTCCTAACGTTTTTAGAAACAAAATGGTGTATATTGAAAATTTTCCCATTACTTTCTTAACTTAAAACCTGTTTTGTTTCCTGGATTGCAGTGTCGACTCTTTGAACACATTGTTGAACATCGATTTTATTGAAGAATATTATTTGAGCCAAAAAAACATGACCTAACCTACTCTAGTGTTGTTTTACTGGAACCGGAGATTGAGAATACACTTTTAATGTTACATTGCTTAAAACCCAAGAAAGTAATTCTATAGGAAACAAATAAGTAAAATTCTTAATACGCCACAATTTCTTTTTTTACAAATTTTATGTCAGGAAGCTGAAATTTTGATAAAATATTTTAAAATTCTCCTTTATAAATTGTGTAATCTTTCAAAGCTGTCGATGCATAAACAGGCTAGCAATATAGAATCAAATGTCTATACCTCTTTGTGGGACACTCTGTATATTTTTGCGAAAGTGTTAGTTTGCATTTCAAATAAGAAAAAAGCAAACACTGGTAAGAAAATACTTCCTTGACCTTTGTTGAACTTCCTGGAATAACATTTTTTTTGTCTCCAAGGTGTTTCCAAAAGATTGAACAGTATTTTCTCTTTAAAAACTCAGCTCATCGAATTATTTGGGTAGTGATATGTTTAACTAATTTTTGTCATGCTGCAGCAAAAACAGCTGTTTTTAATGTATGCGTTGAGGGTCCAAAGTTTTTAGCCCCTAGGGAGTAAAAATCAGCTGTTGTCAACTCAGTTGTAAATTTTGATTGTAAAAAATTTCATTTATCAAAAGTATGTATTGATCGTTTAATCAATTAATGTACACTAACAAAATCGTGATAGACTAATGATTGAATCACTTAGCTGGAAACAGCTGCTTGTTTCCATTAGCAATTTAAATTGAAAACAAGCCAAAAGTAGTTGGTATCTTTAAATGAAAACTGTTTCAGTTTTGTAACATAGTTTTTGTTCAAGTGGTGTAATATGACAAAAAATATAGTTACACGGACGAAAAGTGTCTTTTCAACCCTCGGCTTCATCTCAATCGTAAAACTTAAGCTCCGGTAAAAAAGAGTCACTTTAGACCCTTGTGATGAAATATACTATTTAACCTTTGCCAAAATAATTTTATAGGTGCAAAGTATTGGATCGACTTTTGTTACTTAAGTAGTCATCCAATACTATGAGCTAGCTGTAGCCAATATTTGATTAAAAAAGAAATAATTTAAACGATTCACTAACACTGCATTAATGAAAAATTCAAATTCCTCCCTTAGTTTTTGATATTATGCTTGTTGATGTGACTAAAACATTTTAATATCTCACAGGTAACTTTTTCTCTCAGTGCTTGATTAAAAAGTTGAAGTATCTACAGTATAAGTGGCTGAGTATTTCTGGCTAAATTCAACTATGTCTATTTTTATTTTAAAGCTGGCTCTTACAAAAACGTCTAGGTTTACTTTAAAAATCCTTAGTTCCCAGTCTAAGATGACCAATTCTATCATAAACCATGAGGATGGAGCTGTATTGATCATGTGATTGACTTTTTTTTACATATTTCTCCTCGTTGCTCCGTCTCAGAAGTCGATAAAGGTATCCTGGTAGTTTCTCATGTTGTTTGTGCCTGTTTACTAGTAGGGTTTAGGTGCAAAATGTTGGATTGGAATAAAACGGGTGTCACAAACACATGATCCACAGTATTGTTATGGTTTATACAACAATTTTTTTCTTATTTAATTTTTTGTTAAATTGTAATAATGATAAACAATTTTATTTATATTTCTAATTTTAAAAGTTTTTTTATTCATATGAGGGTGATTTTTTACAGATACAAAGAAATCCAAGGATATGTTAACTTTTTAAAGAAATTATCGCAAGAAGTGAGTTTTGTTATATAAAGCTTTAACATAACTGGTATACATGATTTAGAAAGTTGAAAGATTCAGTATTAGTTTGATTATTAGATTGAATTAGATTTTTATGATGTTAATTTTCAGTCGTATTTATTACATTTTGTTAAATTTTACATCTGAAACCCTCCAAGAAGTGTGTACTGACTCTACTTTGTTAATACACATAAATTATATTTAGAGGAAAGTGCAGGATTGTTTCCTTAAATAAAACACCACCGTGGTTTAACATTACATTTATTTTATTACATACAAATTTAAACGATTTAGTATATTATTGACAATCACTTGGTTTAAAAAGTTAGGTTTAACTATTTTTATTGTATTATAGTATAAATGTGGTGATAGATTTTGCAACATACGAGAACAAAGTTTTGTTTACGGTATATAAAATAAATTAGTGTTTCGGTCGAGTTTGGCATCGTGAGTCTCATTATTGATGTCGTATGGCAGGAATATTTATTTTTACAAATGTGAGCGAAAATGGCCATTTAGAAAACATTGCGTACAACGTGACATCATTTAACGAGATTTTTCCTGACAAATGTTGTTTTAGTAAAATGATTGTTCAAATGATACACTCATATCGCAAGTGATGTGGTTTGACATTCAAATGAACATTTTCGAACAACTCTTTCCTGCAGTTATGTTTTGTCTTTGCCGGTGGTTATTTACAAAGAAGGAGTTCACAAGCAAGGAGACACTAAATGACACCACAATGCAATAGGGAAACATTTAGCCAACTTCGGCGATACTTCCCGATACTTTCAATACTCCGATTACTATCTTCATTCACGACGTAAAGAAATAGTATGTATAAGCTGTAGATGATAGTTGTAGAAGTGTTTCAAAACTCAAGTTTCTTAATTTGTATTGACCTAAGGAACTTATTTTTTTTAAATTTGATTCTTTACATTACAAATTTGATTTATTTTTGGTAAAGCATAGCAAATGAACTAAAGCGGCAAAGTAAAATTAGCTGTGGATTAATTTCCTTCTGAATTAATCTAGGATAAAAATTATTGGTGCCCTTTTTTTCAATAATGTTCTAACTCTGCCTTTGTGTAAACAAATTTGTCTATCTCGAATTATACTAGAATATCCAATTGATTTTGTTTTTCAGTTTTTAATTATTTATCAACCATAAACGGATGGTTACACGATTTTTTTTTGGACCTGAGTGTTTCAATTAGATTATGTAAGAAACAGCTGTAGAACCTTGAAAAATTCAAATAGTTTTTTCAATACAGGCAAAACAGGTGGGGCTTTCTATGGTTTAATCATAAACAAAGTATATTTGTGCGTTTGTATTTGCAATATGTATATGAACCTTCTGGGGATTCTGAACTTGTTAACAACTTTTTATGGCTGAAACTCTCTTCCTCACCAAAACCTACAAAAAAATCTTCTCGGCAAAATTACTACACCAAACAGTTTCAGTTTGTTTCAACATCATTAGAACTTATGTAAAAATGAAGTGTTCAACCCTTATTATACAGTTCTTTGATTATGACGTCAAGGAGTTTGAAACACCAATATGGTACGTAACCATAACCAACAAAATGTAATTTTCACATTCAAATAATAAAATACATAGTTATTAACAAATCGAATATATCTACCGATCTTTAATCCTTCCTTATATTGTACTCAAGTCTTATATATAATATATATAGTTTTATACACAATTTGTAATGTACAGGTTTCACTTTTAACATAGTCTTAACATATTGAGGCAGTATATGCATCCAAAATAGTTTCATTCATTCACTCATACAGTCACCCATCGGGAATCCAAAACATCTCACAACGGCGAAACATAGTTCGTTAGTTATTAAGTCTTTGCATAGATTGTCTAAGAAATAAAATAAACGTGCTACCCAACTCAAATAGAAACTAACAATGAATCGTTCCGCAGCTATTTTACATCTCCCATATTTCACTACCCGTAGATATTTCTCTTACTGTACTTATTAGTTAACATTTACCGGTGTCTTTTGGTTACTAATAAATCATTAAGCGGGTTCAGCATCTATACATAACTTTCCTGTAAATATTATTTACAAGTTAAAACATATAGTATATCATTAGTCACTAAAGTAACACACACAAAATCTGTAATTTATGGTACATTTTATCATTTTATATTTCTTATTTAGTTCAGGGTAATGGAAGGAGAAGCTTGCTGATAATAATACAGAATTTGAGATCAAAATTAACACCCATTTCATGTATATTTAGATTATTTTAATGAATCCCTGAATACAATTTTCCTGGCCTGATGGGATTCATTAAGTAATATTTGACTCACTTAATGGTCTCTATTATATCATAAAGAAGAACATGTTTCTGTGAGATTGTTAAAGGCAAAAACTACTGAACCTATCCAGATGAAGTTGTGTGGAATATATCATAGATCTGTCCTTACTTCCGAAAGCTAGAGTCAAAAAGGGTTATGTTTATATGGATCACACACTGACTGAATTTCAACGACATGAAAATACAGGATATGATGTGTTGGTATTCCAACATGATCTTCATTTCTGTCAAGTTTCAGCTCAGTCAGTTCATTCAGTAGTTTTTGCACTCACCCGGAACCAAAACCACAGAAACCACCTCTTCTTTAGAATAAAATTGGTTTTAATATTTGGGTATGCTAACTCAAATGTAGCCAACTGCTTTAGAGAACAATAGATGTAATATTTGGGTGTGCTAACGCAAAGGTAGCCAACTGGTAGTGGTATGGTATTTTCATTGGGAAGATAGATAACAATTGATATAAAAAGTTAGTTTAAAAAGCAGTGCTACTGTTAATTTAAGCTAATTAAAAAGATTAGATGATGAGAATGTCTTTGATATAAAAGAGTAGTGTGAATTTGAACATGTTCATAAAAAAACTGTATTTTAAAGCTGGGCTTTCCTACGCGCGGAAGTGGAGAACGGAGAGAGGAACGCGGAGAGCGGACTCCACTTGTCTTAGGTAATTTAATGTTACTGTTTTCCTAGAAGCGGAGCGGAACACCATGTTAATCTCTTTTCCGCTCTCCGCGTTCCTCTCTCCGCTCTCCGCTTACGCGCCTAGGAAAACCCAGCTTAACTGTAAAACTAATTAGTGAATTCTAAATAACAATTGTAGTAAATGATTACTTTAGACTACAATGATTCTAAACTTAATTTAGTGCAATCTCTATTGTAAGTTTACCATTTACATAAAAAGGTTTCAATGACCTTAACACTGTTTTGTTACCTAATGAAATGCAAAGACAAAACCTGCACAACTATGATTATTTGGGTGATTATTAAAATGTATTCAACAAAAGTGAGTCGAAGGTTGGAATGAATAATTTAAATTTAACGATTACAAACATTTTAAAACGTAAATACATTTTCACAAGCACTTATCTCTTTACATGAGTTATTCAGAAAATTTTACTTAAAAGTACATATAATTTGTGAAATCTATAATCTTCTTAATTTTTATCCTGATCCATAAAGACCATTTTACCCCTAAAATGTATTCTATGTTCCTCGTAGTATAAACACACTGCATAATATTTGATAAAAATACAAGTTTCAGAACAATCTGTGGTATGAATTATTATATGATACTACCTCAAATGTATTGAAATCGGTTAAAAGCAAAAAATGTAGTGAATCTTTGAAATACCCTAAACATTGTACAAACAGATTTTGTCAAGGAAGGATTTCTTCTTAGTCCACTTAAACGATCCGGTAATTTGTAAGATTAACATTATGCACGAAGAAACTTAATTAACAAATATAAATTTGATTGTAGAAGTGTCACACTTCAAAACGTGAAAGCTGTATTGCTTAGTTTCTAAGGATATACTTATTTTACAAATCGATGGTCTGTATAAAATTTCATTTCGTAATACCTAAAACAATAGCTTTTTCTGTACATCGTTCACATCGACTCCTACTATGATATTAAGACTCTTAAATATTAAGTAACATGTAATAACAAATCATTCTCATAGAAAATAAATCTCACACAATATCCACAAAGAAATTTGTTACGGTTTAATGTTATTGCGAATAGAAATCGAGTTGTTGAGCTTCTGTGATCGGAGTGACCTACACCCGTAGATGGAACGTTCTCAGGGCATCCCCCTTGTTTTATTACATTATGTTTATCGATTTATTATATATAATTAATATTTTAATAAAATAAGAGTCTCTACAGATACATAATGTTGAGCACACGACGCCTGTACATCGCCAGACATCTCATAACGAGATGTCCAGTAGATGTTGAAAGGCTTGTTTTCTAAACTACGTTCAGATAATGGACTAGTACCGAGCAACACAACATTAAAATGCATATTTTATGTGAGTTACCCGAGAACAATATGCATATGAGAGCCACAGTCGGAAGAAGTTTGATTTGCATTTCCAAGAACAACATGTCTTGACCATCCAATGTTGAAATTTTGAGGAAAAACTTTAGTTCAAAGAGTCCTAGGAAAAAACGAATAATGGTTTCTTTTCCAATGGGTATTTTGTTCATTTAACTAATAGTGAAAGGAAATAGTGAAAAAAAGTCATGAAAACACAGAACGGAAATAATTAAAATCATCAAATTTTATGTTTGTGGTACCGGTAGTTAGTTGAGCAACACTAAATAATGGGTATTATTGTCGTGGAATATACGAAAGGTTAAACCAAGTTACAATTTAGTACTTCAAGTCAAATTAAAGTGTGGAAGGAGCTCATAATAGTTTTAACCCCCCTTCCCCCCAACACTTCCCTAGTCGCTACTGTCTGATTAGTGGACTTGTACACATTAAAGGTGGAACTTATACAAATTTCCACAGTGTTTAAAGCATATTGTTCTCAAGCATACTGAGCATTGGCAGGCTGCTAGGTATTGTCGGGTCACAGGATTCGCCTCCAATCACATCTTTAGGTACAAAAATTTATTCGTACAAGTTAAGTTTAAAGTAAGGCCACACGAGGGTTCAAATCTTGTTTGAATTGATTTAATGAAATTATCCGGTATTCATATGGCTTTATAAATAGACAAATACGATAAACCAAGCTAAAATACGGTTTAGGGAAGTTTGTTGGCGATTGTTTCATTTATATATTACTTGTTGATTTAAATGGTTGTTTAGAACTTGATTTTGTAAAGATTTGTGTTACTTATGATTTATCTAACACAAATGACTGGTAAATCTAAATTGAGTCGCTACAGACTATTTTATATTAGAATCCTGGTTACTTTAAACTAATTTAGATTTATTAGCCGATGAAATATTTGATTCATTATGATCAAGAGGAGGAGTTGATTTCTGTGACCCAAAACAAGACTCTAGTCTTCGCTCGCCTACGTGCAGATAAAACCCACGAAGAGGCCAATAACAACATTTTTCAATTTATACACAACTTTCAATTATAATATAATTGTAATATTTATAAGAAAACAATGTCAATACTTTTAAATTATTGTTTTTTACGTACAGTATCCTATTAGTATCACGGTAACAGGCGGCAAGTCATTTACCACGGTAGATCTCGATTATTTTGTCTTGATCCACATATTCGAATATGTGTGGTGCGTCCATGAGAATTCCCACAGTACCAGCGGTCGTCACTATGAAGAAAATGTACAACTGCAGCCGATCTATCACCATGGCTACGTACTTCCAGTCTTCCCGGATCTGGAAGCAAACCAGAAACATTAAGTATACAAAATAACTTGTCCCAACTGCAGCCGATCTATCACCATGGCTACGTACTTCCAGTCTTCCCGGATCTGGAAGCAAACCAGAAACATTAAGTATACAAAATAACTTGTCCCAACTGCAGCCGATCTATCACCATGGCTACGTACTTCCAGTCTTCCCGGATCTGGAAGCAAACCAGAAACATTAAGTATACAAAATAACTAGTCCCAACTGCAGCCGATCTATCACCATAGCTATGTATTTCCAGTCATCATACATCTGCGATCAAATTAGGAACATCAGGTATGGGGAATAACTAGTTACAGCTGCAGACAATCACCGTGGCTAGCACCAATTCCTTTTGAAATTGTCAATGCAGTAATATAGTCTAATGCTCAATTCAACAGGTACAATTCCGATATCTAGCTGGTTTTCTTTGAATTTACCTTGTCCTTAATTCAAAAATCAATTCACTGGAGAGATGTTTAGAAATTAATTCTCAAAATATATTTCAAGATTTTTTATTAAGTTAGAAGTTTGTATCATCCAAAACAATAATTAGAATAATTTGTGTATCCATGACAGGAATATATTTCATTGAATTTTGGATACTAAAGCTTTATCTGTTTGACTATTGTCAAAGATTCTTTTAATTGGATGTTCAGATAAGCTGTCATTGTTTAGTAACTTACAAATTGCTTTAAAACCTTACCACCCAAGAAACACATCAATGTTTAAAAGGTAATAATGAATGATACCGATACCCAGTGTGATAAAATAATTTATTTAATTTATTTAATTAAAATAATTTATTTAAGTTTTGCAGCCCTAAAATGTAAAAGCAATAAGAAAGTGTTAAGAATAAACCACAAGCATCAATGTCCTTTAATGCTATCAATCAACTGTCTATCTTTTTGTTCTGTTATGAAAGTGTCAACGAAATTCAGAGAATGGCAGATATGAAGAGTTGATAATGAATAAAAGATGTGTGTTGTCGCGGCGACATCTGGGCGCATATTGGACAACAGTTGCGCTTCTTGTAGGCGGATCAGTCTGTTATGGCCATCAGGCGCTCATTCTACATCTACATTTCCATTTAGTTCCCCCCATCAGGAGTTGTAATACTAACAGTAAATTGTACGGGAGATATAAATTTGTTGTAAGAAGCTATTGTTGCTGTTTGGGCAATGGTCTTCATTGAATGGTTTACACCTTTGGTCACACAGATGTACCGTACTTTTTCATTTGTCTTTTAGAGGGATTTGAAATTAGCATGTTTTGTCTGAGAAGAAATGATGTCATCTTGACTTATTATTGTTAGGGTACAGGACTGTATGAATCATGATGTTAGTGGAAAAAATTATAAACCCCATAAAATAAACCGGTTAAACCGGTTGAAATAAACCCAATAAAACAAAACTACGCAAGGACCATATTGACGGAGGTAAATTAAACCATTATTATTGTTGCTGTATGGTCCAGAGGCTACCCATCATGAAATAAATTTTGTTCAATAATATGGTTTGTTTTCAAAATAACTTCTGAATCAAGTACAGTAGTACTCTGATTATTTATGTCGATCAGTGTGAATCAAATTTTAACAAAGGGCTGCTGTTGTTCAAAGTACGCATTAGAGAATATTGATCCTTGGTAGATACATTACCTACTGACTAAGACCAACTAATGAGTTAGCCAGAAACATTTATGACAACCCACTCAACAACTTTGTTTTAGTTAAATCTTCAGCTATAAAAAAATAAAATACTTTTATCAGAATCAATTAATCAATTTTTGATGGATAGCCAGCATCGCAACCATCCAAAAACAATGATCCTGACATACAACAAATTCTTCAACACTAAGGAATGCACTATGAACGATCTACTGATTTATCGTGTTTATAGTTATGGTTATAAGTAATGAACCTACCTGTATATACTGATCCTCGTTTCGTAGATGTTCTGCAATGAACTCAACAGCCTCAGTCGCCTTGGACGCCTCAGGAGACAGCAGCAGCGAGTCCGAACTCTCGCTCTCTCTCCGCTCGGCGCTTGCCTTGCGATTGATCTTACAGTTTGGGTGATGGAGGTCGGACAGCTCCATCACCTCCATTTTGCTCTTGCCCGGCGCCGAGGGGGGCAGATGCTTTGGCAGCTCGGCCGGACTGCCATACGAGGGGTGCGGAGGCGCGGACATGCCAGGCATCTCCATCATCCAACGCAGCCTCGTCTTCTTGGGCCGCTTCATGAGCAGGACGATGGGAAGGTAGTAGAGGAAGACCGCACGGATCCAGGGCGGCATACGATGCGTCCTGGGACCTCGGAAGTTCCAATTGATTATAATAACCGTGACTAAAATACTGACGGTGTTCATGATGAAGGTGAACAGCAAATACTTGGCTATGAGGGGCAGCACGAGCGACGTGGGCGGGAGAATCTTGGAGACGAGGAGGAGGAACACAACGAGTGAGAGGAGGATACTGATACCAAGTGTGACCTTCTCCCCTGCCTCAGCGGGTAGGTAAAACACGAGCACGCACAGGAACGAGATGAGGACCGTGGGCAGGATCAAGTTAACCGTGTAGAAGAGAGTTTTGCGACGGATGATGATGTAGAAGGTGATGTCGGTCTCGGTGGGATGCGGCCCCTCGTAGATGTTGAGGTACGCCGGCACCTCGATGATGTCCCAGGTACCCGACTTCCAGTAGTCCGACAGATCCACAAAGTTCTTGTTATTGTACAGAGCTAAGGACACTTGGTCACCGTTGAACGTCCATGAACCAAACTTCATGATGCATGTTTGCTGGTCGAACGGGAAGTAAGTTACGTCTATCGTACATGAACTCTGCAACAGAACGAGTATTTGTAATATCTACAGTTAAACTATATTTACTAGAACTTGTTCAAAGAACTTGTTCAAGGTCTTGTAGGGAGTTCTAAGCTATAGGATTTAAACATATTAAAAAAAAAACAATATTAAACCCTCTTGAATATAGAAGTTATCAATCTCCTTTTATTGAATTTAAAATATATTTGAACATATACAGGGTTAGTAAAAAGTTTAGAGACCACCTGTTAATTGTATAATGGCCCATACTAAAAAAACTAAACTCGGCACACCTTTATTGCATGTTATGAAATACTTTTTGGGCATAACCGCCACTTGGTGTACATCTAGAGGTCTCTATATCAATCCAGTAAAAAATGGCAGCCAATTGAAATTCTCAGAAGCGAAATATAACTTACAGCTTTCCAAGTCTGGAGACCCCCTGTAAATTTTGTAACGGCTCACACTAGAAAAACTAAACTCTGTGCACACCTTTATTGCATGTTATAAAGTACTTTTTGGGCATAACCGCCACTAGGTGTACATCCCCAAAATGGGGGATTTAGGGGGAAACTCAAAAATGTCAAACGGTAAGTAAGACCCATTGAGTGACCCCTCATTTTGAAGGTCGTGATAAAATGAAACTAACACCGCAACGCAAACTAAAGATCTCTATCTCAATCCAGTAAAAAATGGCAGCTGATTGAAATCTTTAGAAATCAGAATTCATCTAAAATTTTGAGTTTTCCTCAAAATCCCCCATTTTGGGTTTGGGAATCAAGTAGCAATTAGGCTTAAAAAGTACTTCATAACATGCTATGAAGGTGTGTAGAGTTTAGTTTTCTTAGTGTAAGCCGTTACAAAATTTACAGGGGATCTCCAGAATTGGAAAGCTGCAAGTTAAATTTAACTTCAATTGGCTGCCATATTAACTGGATTGAGATGGAGACCTCTAGTTAGCGTTGTTGGGTTTCTTTTACCATGGCCTTCAAAATGAGGGGTCACTCGATGGGTCTTTCCATTTGAAATTTTTGAGTTTCCTTCAAAATCCCCCATTTTGGGGATGTACACCGAGTGGCGGTTATGCCCAAAAAGTACTTCATAACATGCCATAAAAGTGTGCCGAGTTATGTTTTTCTAGTACTTTTTAATAGTTTTTCTAGTAATTTTTTTAACAGCTCGTTAAAAAATTAACAGGGGATCTCCATACTTTTTACTAACCCTGTATATTGGTGCCGTAAGGATTTTACAAAAACCTAATACCTTGAGATGAATTAACTCAGTAAATCATCCCTTATTTTATGTACGTAAATTTTAATAGCCTGAAATTTCACTATTGGCAGACATTCAATAAAAATGAAGCCGTCAGCATCATGAATACGTTTGTAAAATCCTTTCTTAAACTTCGACAAACTATAACCCAAATAAGTGAGATGAACCAATCATTTTATAAAGAATTTCCCAAATAAGCTATTAGTTAAAGAGTAAGCAAAGCCGTAACTTAAGGAGGAGAGTGAATTAATTTCCGCCAAGGTTGCAGATAAGGTTCATGAACAAGGATCCCTTTGAAGTCCCGGAGATTCCTCTATGTTCATTCATCTCCAAGATGGCGGCATGTGGCTTACGCTCATAAAATACCGGGAATTCCAGAATGTTCCTCCTGGCAATCCTTAACCGCATTCTTATATCGTTAGGCATCCTCGTCTACAGGGAAGACCGCTTACCTTTGTTAATAATAGAGTGCTATATTGTCTCTGTGTTCACTTGAAAATAAATTTGTATTTTGTATTGTTTGTTGGTGCATTGATTATTGATAAACAAAGGTCGTTAGTTGTAACAATATAAGGGGTTGGACTGTTTCGTATAAACACGTGAACTACCTTTATGCTAATATCGTTAAACTACCCATAAACATAAAAAAATAAAAATTAATAAGAAACATAAAAGCCCATCGTTGTAAAGAAGGGTGTAAATATTAGCGTGTAGGAACTTTTTTAGCAACACAGGTAATCCAAATTCTGCGCTCATCACAATGTAAATAAAATATTTCCAGTAGTGTACTAATAATTGTTACTATGGTGTGCTTAGTTTCGCCCCTGTTTCTAAATGCACATTTAGAGTGGAAATCTATGGAACTGAATTATAAGTAACTACGACACCCTTATGTTATCTTTTGTAGAAACATACTTATGTTAGGGATCCAAATCGGTGTTCATAAATAATTTCATATTTCTATCATAAAATGGTCAAGCTCTTACAAGATCACAAAATCTCCAATGGAATTGTTTAATGACTCTAATCAATTGAATGTAAATTGTAGTTTAGTTTAAGGCTTAAACGTGTTGTAGCAATGCATTCATGAAATTAAACTTGTTTAAAAAATAATTAAGAACGTCATCATCCCCATTTAAAAATATTTTTAGCAAACTAAATTTCACAAATGTATCGTATAACTTGAGCGTTTCATGTTCATTTCCACGTCTATTCTCATGCATGTCTATACTAATCCCTGTAAAAATAGCACACAGTCAAAACTGTGGTAAAACAAATTATTGAAAACAGTTATTTTTAGTGAGGAATCTTGCTATACCATCAACAAAAGTATGCGAAGTGTTTGGTGTGAAATCATACACAAAAAGGAATTAAATATAGACCGTCAGCTGTGCTGCGGTTACCATAGGTTCTGGCACACACCGTTGGGAGCGCCATGTAGTTATGGCTACGTGCTAAGTAACTACGTGGCACTCCCAGCGGTGTACGTCAGAAACTATGGTAACCATGGTAACCGCAGCATAGCTGACAGTCTAAAATATAACGTTTTAAACCAATATACTTCCTATACTAACCTGGTATATGGCGGGCGGAACCCAGAGCACTTCGCCGTTCGGGTAAATCAGCACGTTAGACTTATATCGGACTTCGTAGTTACCGTCAGCACTGAAACAGTCAAAACTTGTGTTAATGAACATCCTCCAGCAAATTACTGTACCGAAAAAGATTTTACCTACGACCGTTTTTTAAAGTAGCCATTTCAGTCCAGTTCTTAGAATTGAAAAGTTAAAAGTTTCACTTTACAGCTGTTTACTTTCATATCAGCATAGTTTCATTTCATATCAGCATAGTTTTTCTCATATCCACACAGGTAACGGACCAATGAGGTTCAAGTATTGAGAGAAAAGAATTAAAATTGTAATGCTTCGAACGTCAACTAATCAGCTGATCAGCTGATCAGTTGACCAATTTAATTGTTGATCCGACTTGTTCATGTTGATACTCGCGTAAGTTGGTGGAAGTCCAAAAATAAATGAAATATTTGCCGAATTGTACCTGATACAATATTATTTATGGTAAGAATGCTGCTAGCAATGTAATATTTAACGAAGTTTATCAAACACGTAATTACAGGAAATCAGCTGATTATACAACAAGTCGTTGCATCACTTTCAGTGGCAATGACAATACACGAAAACATAACCTCTCTAAAAAGTTATCAGTAGTGATTGTTAGTAATTAAATCCAGATTGATAGTAGTAGTGGAGAACTACCGGTTTTACCCCACTTTAGACACGTTTTTCCCATGTTATTCTTATGGGGATTATTTTTGGCCACCAAATCTAAAATCCTGATCTTTGCCCAAATATCCCTATAAAAATTGTCAAACCTTATTTCTTAGTTATTCCCCATAAATATATTCGATATTAAACAAAAATATAAAAAAAACTAATTATTTTATTTATTGACCCATGTATGTGTATATGTATAGTAGTATAGTTTGTCGCCGCCGTTTTTTGAGGCTCGACATTTTTGGGCCAACTCCCCCCCCCCCCTCACCCCTCACCCCCTCACCACTCCCCTCTGCCCCATGCACAATTGCTAGTACATCTATCATTCCCCTTTCCAGTTGATATATTATATTTCTATTTCAAAATCATGTATGTGCGTGGTTTGCACACGAACTCGGCTCATGGCGTGGGCACGCTCCGGGCTCCTGCTTCTTGCCTCTAGTGGTGACGTGGTGAAAATGTCACTCCCTTGGGCTTGCTCCTTGCTAGTCTTGGATCTGTTGAAGTAAATTTTTAATTTCTAGCTGAAAATTTTTAAAATTTCCAAAATTTTGAAATTTTCGAAAAGTCTATAAATAGAAGTGGCACAAATTTTTTTTGTTATATATAAAAATGAGGCCCACCTGTCAACACTGCTCTGTGTCGCTCTCCACCAAAAGTAACCTGATTCGCCACTACAAGGTAATTCATCAAATGAATGTATGTAAAGTTTGTAATTTAATCTGTGATAGTAACATTGCTCTAAAATCGCATATATTACAAAGTCACAAGAGTTGTAGTTTTTGTAAGAAAAATATTGTTGGACATTTTAGAAGACATGTAAATTCTTGCAACAAATGTCCATACACGATGATTAAATTTGTTGGTGAATCGATTAGAGCTGAACTTGAAAATAATCTCAAGTCTTGTCCTCTGCCGATAAAATGGACGTTAGTTAGGAGAATCAAATTTATAAAATATTCAATGGATCAAAATGGAAAATTAGTTAATGAGAAAGATTGTATTGCGGATTTTAGAAGCCTTACTATCTTAACTATTGAGAAGAGAGATTTAAAGCCTCAAATTGAAAATGCACTTTTAAAGATTGATGCTTCCATACACAAATATCAAGCCCAAGGCAGTGGATGGATATATGACCATACTAAATATTGGCAGTTGCACGTTTACAAGTATAAACCCCTAACTCCAAAGTCATATATCCCCACACCAAAAAGTATTCAATCAAAACATGCTGTTTTAAATATAAAGAATTATGATAATAAATGCTTTCTTTGGTCGATTTTAGCAGCTTTACATCCAAGGAACTCTAATGAACATGCTGAAAGGGTTTCTAATTATGTACCCTATGAAAGTCAGTTAAATATGGCAAATATAAAATATCCAGTAAAAATATCTGATATAGATAATTTTGAAACACAGAATAATATAAGTGTTAATGTATTTGGGGTTGAATATGATAAATTTATACATCCATTAAGAACAACTAAACTGAATACTAGTAATACTCATGTAGATCTATTGTTATTACAAGAAGGTCGTAAATCACATTACTGTTTAATTCGTGATTTTGATAGGTTAATGTTCCACTCTACAAAAGATGACCATAAAAAGCATTTTTGCAAGTTGTGTTTGCAACATTTTTACACTAGTGATATATTAGAACGTCATACAATATATTGTAAAAACTTTGATGCTCAACGAGTGGAAATGTCTAAACAAGATACATTACAATTTAAAAATTATAAATATCAACTTAAAGCCCCATATGTAATTTATGCAGATTTTGAATGCTTTATAAACTCTAATATACATATTCCATCGGGATTTGCATTTGTCGTAGTAAAAGATTCAAAAATTATTTCTGAAGAGTTGTACAGTGGCACAAATGTTATGGATGTGTTTTTTGAAAGATTATTTCAGACTTATGATTATATTAAAAATCAAATGGCAATATATATTCCTCTTCAAATGACCCCTGAGCAAGAGGTATCTTTCCAAAACTCAACACATTGTCATATTTGTGAAAAGCCCCTATATTTTGATAGGGTGAGAGATCATTGCCATTCCTCTGGCCAATACCGTGGAGCTGCCCACAATGATTGTAATTTAAATTATAAAGTAACAAAGAAAATACCAGTATTCTTCCATAACTTGAAAAATTATGATGGTCACATAATAATGCAACATTTGGGAAAGTTTAATAAACGTAAATTAAATTGTATAGCTAAAGATATGGAAAAATATATATCATTCTCTGTTGATGATTTAGTATTTTTAGATTCATACAACTTTCTGTCCCTTCCATTATATAAATTGGCTTCCAATTTGAACACATTTAGATTCATACAAAATCCACTACTACAACGTAAAGGTGTATATCCCTATGAATATATGACGGGACCAGATAAGTTCGCAGAGTCTCTACCCCCAATTGAAACATTTTACAGTTCTATAACTAAAGAACATATCTCTCCCAATGAATATGAACATGCTAAAAATGTATGGACCCATTTTAATATAAATAATTTACAAGAATATCATGATTTATATCTTAAAACAGATGTATTGCTACTGGCTGATGTGTTTGAGACATTTAGAGACCTGTGTTTAAAAGATTACAAACTTGACCCTGTACATATGTATTCACTTCCTGGACTTACATGGGAGGCCTGTCTTAGAATGACAGGAATAAAATTACAATTATTCAAAGATATTGACATACATTTGTTCATAGAAAGTGCGATTCGAGGAGGAGTCAGTATGATTTCTACACGTTACGCTAAAGCAAATAATAGATATATGGGTGAACATTATGATCCCAATCAAGAGAGTGTCTATTTAATATATTTAGATTGTAACTCGCTATACTCAACAGCGATGTGCAAGCAGCTACCTATGGATGGATTTTGTTGGACGAATGAGATAGACTACAAATATAATCAAAATGATGAGTTTGGATACATTTTAGAAGTTGATTTAAAATATGATAAAAGCTTACATGATTTACATAATGACTATCCATTAGCACCAGAGAAAATGAATGGCAAATTAATGCCAAATTTAAATGACAAAACTAAATATATTTTACATTATAAAGCATTACAAAAATATGAGGAATTGGGTTTGATTGTAACAAAATACCATAGAATTTTAAAATTTAGACAGTCTAAATGGCTTGCACCCTATATTAATTTTAATATTGAAAAACGCAAATGTGCTAAAACTGATTTCGAAAAAGACTTTTATAAATTGAATCAACGCAAGTTTCGTGATATATATCTCAAGGATGAGTCACTATTAACAAAATATGTCACTAATCCAAGGTTTGACTGTAGCAAAAAGTTTGATAACAATTTACATGCTATACATTTAAATAAATTAGTTGTAAAGTTTAATAAACCAATATATTTAGGAATGACGATTTTGGATATCAGTAAAGTAATAATGTATGATTTCCACTATAATTATATGTCAAAATTTAAGAATAAAAGATTTCTAATGACAGATACAGATTCATTAATGTATGCTATAGTTACAGAGGACTTTTACAAGGAAATAGAATGTGACTTACACTATTTTGATACCTCTGGATATAGTAAAGACCATTTCTTATACTCTGATAAAAATAAAAAAGTCACTGGAAAGTTTAAAGATGAATTAGGTGGTCATATTATGTATGAATATTGTGGTTTAAGACCAAAGTTATATTCTTACATTCCTCTAAAATGGTTATATGAAGAAGACAAGCAAGCTTTAGAGGTGAAGAAAGCTAAAGGAGCTGATGGTGCCACTGTTAAACATCTCCTTAGACATCAACATTATTTGAACTGTCTTGCAACTGGGCAAGATTACTATGAGAATGTGACAAGAATTAAATCTACAAATCATCATCTTCAAACCTTGACCATGAATAAGAAAGTACTATCGTTTGACGATGACAAGAGGTTTATTCTTGAAGATGGCATCAATACTCTTGCGCTTGGTCATTATAAAATCGATGTTTAAAATGTGTAGATATATAATAAATGCAAATGTTAAAAAAAATCTTTCATTTATTTACCCTTACCATCCTCTTGATAGAATTGGTCAAACATAAATCTATATTTGCCATTATTCTTTGGCCTTTCTTTGTCTATTACGAAAAAGCCATATTTAGTTTTATCCCAACATTGATGACAGAGATTTTTAAATTGGTCAAATGAAAAGTCATTACCAACATGATTGTGATATACATGTTTTAAATTTAAATCATCTTGTTTGAATAATATTAGGAAATTTACATTATCACGTAAATGTTTGTGTACTTTGCTGTAAGATTGACACAAGTAAAAACAGTTAATATTTTTATGTCGACCCATTGAGAAAAATTGTGTA